TCTCGCTGGTGTAGCAAGGGCAACCCCAGGCAGCATGACTGACAGTTACACATTGAGAAATGTCAGACTCTGCTTTGTAACCAATCTCTCAAGCTAGTTTTGAATTGGCTGCATGCCGCATGTTTTTCTTTAGTTTCAGATCTCATAAGAAAAAGGAAATCCATCTTATTTTTAAAACACCTGGCTGTTTGCATGAACCACTGTCAGTTCTTGCTAGTCTAATGTTTTTTTGTGTGAGTTTACAGAGATCCTGAAAGAAGCTGATTTATCTTAAATTACAACCTGTAAAAACCCACAGCACCCTTTTTACTGACCTTTTTTTTTACATTTAACTTCACAAGTGAGTGAGTCTCATTACATTATCATGCATATACCCAGCATATTGAATCATAAAATATGTGGCTACATTTTTGCAATATAATTTCACACCATTGTAAAAAAATGTTCTCTGTAACTGCAGAGGAGAAGAGGGGAAGGAACAAGTCGACTTTCTCTTCCTAGACACCCTTAACATGACTCCCCAGGCTCAATAATCTGTTATCTGTACTCTGTTTTTACAATGTGATAGTGTACTTGTTGGATCAAATGTACTTTAGCCCCTTTCTTACGCGGAACCGACTCAACTTTTCCATGTTTGTGATGACAGAGCTCTGAAAGGGAAATGCTACTCAATGGAAAGTTTGCTCTGTACATACAGTGGTCTTGAAAAAAAAGCTCTATTTCCGTCCACCAACCCCCCCATTACAAAATTGCATAATGCACTTTTGATGGCATGATTGCTTTGCCCATGGCTCTAACACTGATACAGCAGTGCATGTTATTTTTAAACCTTTGCAACGGTAATGTCAATGAAGTTTTCCATGACCCTTTTTCATGTGTGGAATTGTTTTTAAATTTCAAAACTTTGGATCATTCAGTAACACTCAGAGTCAAGACTCTCTATTTAACTCTCTATTTACTCTTATACTGACGGTAGTGTTAAATATATGTAAAAGTTGGTATAAATTTTAGACTAACTTTGTTTTACTGATGTTTTTAAAACATCTGATAATTTTTCAGGAGAAGAATTTGAACACATTTCAACAGTATTTCTTTATCAGATTTTACTCATGATGAAAATTGGTTTTGGTTCAAGTTTGGTTATGGTTGTTCTTTAAATGTTCTGCTTCTCTGAAAATCACTATCCAAAACAAAGTGATGAGGGCATTAAACAAGCATCTCTTTTTGTACAGTCAGTGTCAGAATCGTTGAGCTCCAGCAGGGCCCTTTCTTCAGTGTCATGAACGATATGGAGCTTAGCTAAATGGTCCAGTCTGCACCTCACTTCCTGATGTCTCTCAGGGTCAATAATTTCCTATAGCAGCTCCCATGAGGCCTTGCTTCCCCTGCTAAAGGTCACATTGAGGCGGGAAAGATGTCACAATTAGAAGGGCTTTTAAAGCTGCTCTTTTAAAAAGATTAAAAAGCACTGTTGGCCACATCAAGCAGTCAGGCGACTAAAGGAAATACAATAATTACATTAAAACTTCATTCCTCTCTGGCAGGGCTCTGGTATCACAAAGGTATTGGGTTAAGTCATTTAAGACAGCTGCCCCTGATAGCAAATCATCCATGAAAGCACCAAATTAATATAGAGCTTCATTTTTTGCCGTCTCTCACTTTCTCTCGCTTTTGGTCAGTCAAACGTGTGTTTGGGGGGTGAAACTTGACACTGGCCTAACACAATTTTTGTTCGTGTCTATCAGTGTGTTATTATATCAGGGGCACTTCTCCACAAATGTACAGGCCGGGGCAATTTGGAATGAATTGATTCACACTGAGACTGAATCCTATACTTGCTAATGATTTCCTTTTAGCCCCTCCATTGCACCCCAACACTCTACTTCTAGTTCCATCATGTTCTCTGAATGTCTTCATCATTGAAGACAAAATGTGAACATACAACTTCCTGTGGAACAGATGACATGTGTTTAAAAGTTGCTCAGTGCCTGGCAATATTATATTCTGTAGTAAAAAATTAAAAAATATATGTGACATGCCACTTTTGAATCTATGGAGTGTTTTGTTGGAAATACAGGGTTTGGATAGAAATTAAATTCAGGTAAACTCAGGGTTGTTAAGATGTGTAGTATTTTAATTAAAGTGCACATACGTCTATTTAAAAGAGGCTCAGACGTGAACAACAAAAGAAGACTTACCATTGCAAATACTGAATTTCATCATAACTGTAGATAACCAGTGGTTTGAGTTTGTCTGGATTATTAAAATAATAATCTGGAATATTCTTTTGTGAGAGAATTTTTTCATCTCTTTTTCAAATTTTGTTTATTTCAACTAATATACTAAAACCAGCCTGAAGAATTTAAAATGAATGTCAGACAAACAGATTATTTCTATTTCAGAAGAGCAGGCCTGAATTGCCCAAATTGCTCTTATCCTGAAACAGCAGAACACATGTCTGTGAAACATCCATAGGTTATAGTTAAGTGATATTACCAGTTAAGGCAAAAATATACAACTGGTTACATGGATTTCCTCAGGCGTCCAACCATGTGGTTCGAACATAATTTGATTTCATCTTCATTTCTCACAATTCAAGGTATCACGACTGTAATTTTCAGACAAGTGCAGCGCAAAGTCTTGTCCAATTCAAACTCAATAACACTGCTGTAATCTTGTCCTTTCATCAACTGCACTGTCTTTAAGTGTGTTGGTTAATGTTATCTCTTCCTATGATTGAGTTTTCGCCTCTTTTTCAGCTTTACCTGACACTTTATTGGTTATCTGGTTAGCAAAGATTATTGCTCTTAACATGGGGCACTTTGGTGCATTAGCAGTCAAAGCTTTACAAGTAATTTCACACAAGTGCCTAATTGTTGTTTTTAACAAAAATGGCTCACCAGATTTCGAAATGAAAGGAAATTCGCCTAATTTTAGTATTTGTTGTTTATGTGCCCCAACCCATATGTGCCTTGTACTGTTATCCATCTTACCCCCCTAAAAGCCCAGTTATAGTGTGCTACCCAACACTATAACTGGGGTGATCCATAAGTCAATAACAAGACAAGACTGAAATCTGTGCAATGTGGTTATAATTGATTGAGATGTCTGGGTGGAACTTGTGCAAAGCATCTATGTCATCTGCTAAGAAGTGCACTTTTCCTCTCCCTGAAGATCTACCACTACAGTTTTAACCAAATGGACATTTACCTCATTAGTTTGCCGCTGAGCTAGCTGCGGTCCTTACTAAGATGTCATACTTACGCCTATTAACATTGACACAATTTTCTTGTCAATATTGTGCTCCTGAAATTTTAAGGGAATGTAAACAAGGTTTGCTCAATCAGCATATTCTTCCTCTATTAGGTCATTTCCCACTCACAGGGCCTACATCACAATGTTATTTCCTGGTATAAATATTAGAATATTAGATTTTATCGTGTTCATTATCTCTGACTTTTGCCTTTTACCACAAGTAGTCTTGTAGGGTCACTTAGTTTAACAGCCAGAGCTTTGCCAAGAGCAGGGTTATTTTTGTCTTGTTATCAAAGGGATATTTTCTCTGTGTTTTGACTGTATCTTTTGGCCCAGAACATCAGTTGGTGGTTCACCATGCAAATGGTTTAATCTGCTTGTCACAATGAAGGTTCCGGGTGACTGACTTTAATAAGCCCTCAGCATATAGAGATCCAGGAAATTCCATACCCCTTGTGTAACCCCTACGTACATCAAGGTCACGGTAGTGTCACAGTGAAATGGTAGATGACTATCTAAATGAGTTGTGGCAGGATCTCTCGGGCTGAATCTGGTACATTTTGATAAAATTCACCATTGAAGTTTCATCGCTGAATTTAGTACACTACAGGAAGTCTGTGGATGCTGTGGGTCATTCCCGTATGCACCTTATTAGAATAAAAGTACTATTATGTTGTTGTTTTCAGCATATTCATAGACTACTGTACTGTTTGTTTGTCACTGAAATCTTGCTCTTCACACATCCTCCCTGCCACCCTGTAGACAAGTTTAAACTGCAATTCTTTTGGATTGAAACGGGTTCATAGTGTATGCAATGCATTACCCAAAACGAATTACCACTGGCAGGGCGCTCAATCATTTTGTATCTTTCAACACTAAGAGAAAAGAAGAGTAATCAAAACCTTTCAACCTATTAGAGGGATGACTTTTACAATTGAATCACAGGGACCACAGGTGCGATAATAAGTCATCTAAACCTCCCCTCCAGTGTGTTTCCCCTTTCTCTGTGTTCTTACATATTTATCTATTTTAGGAGGCGCCACTTCAACGTGCCCACTTCAAATTTATGTTTTAATGCCATTTGAAGAAGATTTTTTTTCTCCCTCCAATTCTTGGAAATGCATACTGGGTTGGAAAATTAAGGTGCATCTCGAAGGAAAACATAATAGAATCGATGAACGCGCTGCACTTAAAACTTCTGATGTTCTGATGCTATTTAACGTTCTAGTGCATTAACGTTTCAAGTCATTACAACATCCAGGCTTGGTGATTTGATCATGGCAGGTTTTTAACTGGAAGAATTAGAGAAGTTTTCAGCCTACGATTCTCAAGTTATTAGATACAAATGATCACCTCTGCATTAAGTATAGATTTTCTTCCACTGCGCACTTAAGAATGGAAGTTTGTCTTTAAGAGGGTAATAGCAAATTAAGCTCCATACTCCATTTGTCCAGCACTTGTGATGGGCTAATTTTATAACTGCTGATTTGGTCATTCCCCACATTTAGCTGGAAAGTGGTCAGGTGGTCTTTCTCCTCACTGCTGGGTGTGGAGGTTATAGGAGCAACTATCAAATGGAATCCATTTATGTGTTTTTGGGGGGGGGGTGTTATAATGAACCTTTTTCTTAAAGAAGATCTCGACTGTAGTTTGTACTGTTATAAGCATTACTTTCCTGTATACCTCGTCTCCTTCCTCTCACATTATCTTATTGAGAAATTAAATCACATTTTTTCTCTTTCCAGATTACCACTGCTGTAAAATTTCTGCAGAACCTCAAAGTACGTCAGAGTCCCTTGGCCACCAGAAAAGCTTTCCTGAAGAAAAAAGGTGAGAGACATTTGATTCACTCCTCTTTTGTGTAGAATGCAGTTCTGAAAACCTTGAAAAACGTAAAAAAATATATATATATGATCAATCTGTCTTTGTTTATAAAAATGTGATTGACCAGAGATGGACACGCAGTTTTTTTTTTAATTTTTCGCAAGATTATTCTGTTAGGGTCAAAGGTTGTGGCCATAGCTCTTTGCCCTGGAGGCTCTAACGGGTCGATTTGGCTTCAGAGTGCATGATTCAGGCCCTGTGAATAAATGACACACCAGTAGGGATGCTCCTTTGGGTTCAGGAAAATTAATATTGACAAACTCTCTCTGCATTTTCAATGGAATTATCAATATTGCCTCCCAGCATTTTAACCCTTTTACTTAATTTAACTGTTATCGTAAATTTGAGGCATGACGCAGGGAGGGTTTTCTAAGCAGGGATGCTGGAAATGTTTGCTGGCTCTTCAGTTTCTTTGCAATTCATTGAAATTATTTCTGACACACGGTAGAATATTGTTTGTGCAATAAAACTTGCAAATAGCTTTATTACTCTGAACTCATTTAAATCGGTTCAATATAATGCGGCGGTGGGTTTGTGCAGTTTTACGCCATGTTTTTCTTCCAGTCAGCCCATGGCTGAGCAATGAGAGTATGTGGCTTTACTTTAGTACTCTTTTTGTGATGAGTATTTTTACTTCAATTCTTTATAAAAACAGTTCAGTACTTCGGGGACTGTAGCTCTGCAGTGCTTGGTGACTTTGCCTCCAGCATTAGTGTAGCAAAACAGTGAAAAGTGAGCCTAAAAGCTCCATGACTGGGAAGGTAATCTGAAACTAAATCCATGGTTGACAGCTGTTACTACACACATCTCATCTGGCTCTAATGAATCTTTGTATCTCTTGAAATGTATATGTCTTTATTTCTCATTACTGACAACTAAGGCAAGTTCACTATCCACTGTTTGTTCAGAATCAGAATGTCTTTATTGTCATAGTAAGCTTTGCATACAACCAAATGAGAAGTTCTACTTCTCTTGGTGCATCACGACACAATCACACAACAGCATCAAACAAACAACTGACTTAGAATAAATATGTGTTATCTCAAATGTAATGAGGCCTCATCAAGACAAAATGATGTCATGCTACACCTCATTTTCCTCTTTCTGCTTTGTTGTAAACTCCATAGAGCTCCGTTATCCAAAATGGTATGCTCTTACTGCACTTTAAGTCCATGAAATATGTATGACGCTTTGATGCAGATTTATTTTGGAAAGTCTGATCCACTGTAGATCTAAACAAGAACTCTTGATTTGCATAAGGACATTGATCTCAGGAAGAGAGAGGGTAAAGATGATAGAAAATGGAGTAATGTAAACACTAAGCACAAAGTATGTTTGACTATCTCTCTGCAGAGAACTCTCTGACTTGAGTGGTATAGTCATGCATTAAGTGAACTTGAAGATCTCATACATTCCTACCTCAGTTTGCCTGAGTTGTTTCAGGAAAGTGCTTTACTATAACATCATACATCTTTAAATTCTTTTTTGTGATCTTTTAGTGTGTACTTCAACACGCTAATTTAGATCCTAGAGACATATTTGTATGTGTTTATTCTACAGGAAACAAACAGAAAAAAAACATTCTAAAACCTTGAACACTGTATAGTTAACATCTTGCTGTAAGTGATGTTTAATAAACAAGTAATCTAAGTTAATAGGTCGAAGTAGGTCTGGGCAATATGGGCAGGAATTAAATCAAGGTGTTTTTTTTTATGTAGTGGACAATTTTAATAGATGTTTTTTATGGCTTCATGAATTTGAGAGAAAAACATCTCAAATAGGTTTCTTGAAACAAACACCCTGTTTATTCTTATCAAAAATCTTTTTTTCGTGGTGACACGAAACCTAGAAATGATCATTTAATTCAATGTATCTCCAGCCCTAAGTAACCCGACTCAAATTAGTAGAATGTTGTTTCTGTATAATTGAGTCTTTTCTTTGTCCTAATGATATAAACGTAATGTTTCCTCTGTCCTTAACTATGGTGTTGCAACGAATTGTTCTTCTTGCTTGCAATCAAAATATAAAATGTAATAAAAATTGTAATAGAATAGGATCCTGATATTTGGAGATTATTTTCTGCCTTACCTTGGTCATAGTACTATAGTAAACGTGGTAAACTTAAGCATGGACATAACAGTTCGCCAATACTCACATTTCCCGTGTCTGTGTCATCCTCGCCTTGTGACATAGAAACTCAATCAGCCTCCTCCTCCCGCAGTCCTCACAGCAAATGTGTCAGTCTTAATTTCTAATACAGTTTAATGTCATATTTATGTAAATACTTCTGGATTTTACTCTATATTAACAGCGAGAAATGTCAAAGCACACATAAAATGAAACAATACCATCTCCTGGTAGAGTGGAATTTAAATTGGATTCCTCTTGCAGCCAGTACTTATGCTGGACAGCTGATGAAGGGGAAAATAGGGCCCACTTTGATTACATGTTGCAGAATCTTTACACAATAATCTCGGTCGTGCATATTATTTCTCCTCACATTTGTGCCCTAATCTGCGTTGAAGGATGCCTCTCTGGTTACATTTTTTTCCCCAAAGAGATCCTAATAGTGTGGTTTATTTCAATATTCATTGAAAAATATAATTTTCTGTTTGGCTTCAACTGTCAATTTCAGAATATGAATTGGCAATTATGCAGTCCAATACGTCTAGCTGCCCTTCTTGAGTCCTTGTTGAATAAAGAGGCTGAAATATTGAAACTTTGTCACTTAGATGAAATATAAATCAAGATTTAAGCCCGGAGATGTTTTCTCTTTCTTTTGCTGAGGAGTGGGGAAATGAATTGCATTTAAATGGTCTTGCAGCAATTTTGCTTGACTTGTTCCTTGCCAAGATCAAGTACATTTTATTGTGTTTGAGTGAAATATAATGTGGCACTGTCTCTTCCAGTGAATTGTGCCATCTATGTCCTCTACAATTAACAGATGTAACAACTAAGGAGTTTTGGGACCCATTTAACCAAGACAATTAGCAGTTACACACATAATTACCCAAAAATCCAGATTCTCAGGACGAAGTCGATAACACTTTCCAGCTTTCAGCATGTCACTTTGACCGTGGCCCCAAAGTGAAATCACTCAGCCGCTCCCAGATTACCAAACTGAGAGTACACATACATTGTTGCATTACAGGTAAATTCAGCATGTGGAACAGGCACAGTACACTCTCTGTCAGTGAGACATAAATGATGGCTTGACTTATTTCTTTTTTTATGCCCTCCCAGTTGTTATTGACTTGAATAAATAATGCTAATAGATTTCACCCTCAGAGGGCCACTGATCCAGGGTCATGGGGAACACAGGTAGACCATTGGTCTATTACCATACCTGGTATGAAGGTAAGGGTAAGGTTCATCATTCCAGATATTAATAGGATCCTGTTTGTAAGTGGGGTTATGTGACTCACCTCTCGGACAAAAATGACAATGACCAAGGCCTGCATAGAAGGTAAAGGGATTGATGTGGTTATAAATTACTCCACGGCGCCACCTAGCCTAGGCCTTGCCTACTTTGTCATCAGTACAAGGCGATAAAGCAGGGAAATGAGAGCAGAGTCCGCTTTTTTAATACATAAATGAATACTCTATGAGAGTGGTCATTATTTAGGGTATGCCATTTTCAAGCAGTTGTCGTGAACCAAATGACATGTAGAATCTCCGTCGCCAGCACAGCATGTGAAACCGGTTGAAGTTGCACTCGACTTCTTAATAACCCATTGACCTCCATCTATTTATGACCCCTGCCATGCATTTCTTTTTTTTCTAAATACGATATTCAAAATGTAAGTAATTTCCACTCAAGGGCAACTTCATAATTCAGGCCTTGGAGGACAGCGAAAAAGGCATTCACCTTTTACCACCCAAAATATTTTAGTAAGCAATTTTTATAATTGGCTGTCCAGCCTAGGTCTTGACCCATAAAATCCAGAAGTGCCAGAATCGGAGAATTGGATTTAATGCAGAGCCTTGCTGCCTCTTTGCCCTTAAAAAATACTCCGAGAATATGAGCCTCTGAAAATAGAGCTGTAAATAACCTGACGAGCAATGGGTTTTCCTTTAAATAAATACCGATCAGGTTTATGTTGAAAGACAATAGAAAACGTTGCCCAGATATGCAGTTTACAGTATTTATAGCTGTAATATCGAGGTGCCAGCACCGTAATTTCATGCCCCAATGAGAATGGCAAGGTCAAAGCAAATGCTTTGGCTGAGCATCTGCTAATACGGTGACTCATAAACAGGCACTGCGTGTATCAGGTGCACCAAATAATACAGTATAATGAAATACAGAATAGCTTTCCATTATTGTTCTTTTTTTATGGTGTCGTCATTAGTTGTAATTTATGTCTTAAAAATTCATCTCCACACGGGTCGATCTGAAATGGAGGTCCAGGGGTCATTCCACAGGTTTTGGAACCTATAATAAATTTCACAATCCCTTTTTGGTCTTTTCCTTTTATATGTAAAACTCACTTTCACCTTGTTCCCCTTTCTTTTGGATCTAAGGGCCCTTTCCTTTTGGTGCTGTCTTTCCCTAAAAAAAAACCCCAGATCAGAGCCTTCGACACACAACTTAGCTAGCTGTAATTTGACTAGAAAACAGCTTTAGGATTCCCCATGTATTCTATTCTAATACATGATAAAAAAAAAACACCTTTCAGTTGCTGCATATGCAACATCAAAGATGTCCACCGCCATTAAAATGTACATACATTTGCATCCTAAATGTAGATAAAAAAAAAAAATCAACTTTACATTTCAAGGTGAAATGAAAAACTAAAAGCATGTTTTTATTTCTTCTCTTTCGGTGAAACTGAGATCTTCACAAGTTTCACTCAATAGTCTGCCACCATGTAGTCTGCTGTGGTCAGATGAATCAGGAGTCCAGGGACACATTATTGCTTATTTGACAGTGCAGTCTGACTGCACAAACTCAGCACATGGTGACACCACTTCCTGGCACTCAGGACCTGCTGTAGACTACAGGCTGGCCAATATTTGCCTTCAATTATTCAACAATTTTCATGGCCATTTGAAGTCCTTGGAGCATTTAAATAAGTGGCGGCAGGGACTTCCCCTTGGCATAAGCTGCATGGTAGAGTATCAAAAAATTCCTTTATGCTTTTAGTTCTGCTGATACAGGATTAGGTTAAAGTGGGATTTCACATTAATTTTCAACCTGCTATTGAGATCTGACTCACTGCTTAAACAGAAATTCACATGTGAGGTAAAAATTTTGATATAATATCTCATTCATCTGAAGAAATATGATAAACTTTATCAACTTTATAGCACTTCTCTTAACAATGCTAAAAAGTCCTTAATAACAAGACGTTAAACCAAACAATACAAAAACTGAAAAGGCAGTTGACTAAAATGACGTTGTCCACATAAGAGTTTAAGAATTAAAAAGTTCTGCTCTATATGTTTACTCAGTACAAATCATTGGAGTATGTTTCTCTTTATGTAGTCCATTCAGGAGGTCAGTATGAGAGATCTGGCTTTCTGTGGTTACTTTTAATGAAACTAAGAGCCTTCTCTTGAAACACTACAAGTGAACCCTTTCCAATTTCTCTGGATGTCTCTCAAAACACAGAGGAAGCTTATTTTGAGCTTGCGTAAATTCTCTAAATCCTGAGGGAATAGTTCAAGTACAAGGCTCTGGTACAAAGGGGATTTTCTGTCAATAAGCACAGGAAATAGCTTTCAGAAATAATGGTAAAATGTTAGAGACAACCTGCTTAACAACAATGAGCAGTATGCTACACCACTATAATGCAAACTGCTGATTTAGTTAGCACTGCTTATCAATATCTAAGAAAGGCAGCAGGTACTAATCAATTTTGATTTTTTTTTTTTACAACATTTAATTGGTTAATGTCGTATTCTATTGTATTTCATCAAAAGTTGTAATTATTTTCCTTTTGTTTAGACCAAGATGCTTATTAAAAGATGATACCCAGAGCAATGGCAGCATATGGCGTCTGAAATAAAATCCTTTCTTGCCACAAAAGGAGATGTTCATATTAGATTTTTTTTCCTCTACCCCTCTGATTCTCCATCAGGGAGCCCTTTGCAATTTAATCATCACTAAAATCATTAAAAAGATCTGAAGATTAAATTATATTGGCATTTGCAAAATTATGTAATACATTTACATTACAATGAAGAAATTAAAATAATGCATTTTCACTGTCTGGGGTGTATGAAATCTCCACATGGGAAATATAACTGGAGAAGTGGACAGACTCTTATTTTCTTTGCCTTTGGTGGCAGTTAATAGGCTAGCAGAGTTTCCGATTTCATTGTGTGAATCTGTCTTTGATAGATGTCCCTGAAACAGAGACTCTTAATGGAGAATCCCATTGAGAATCATGAAATGAAAATATAGTTTTCAGAATAGGGTAGGTAAAATTCAATAAGAGATTTGACATACTTTTTCTTAATTGTACTTAAAAGATTTGTGTGGAACCTGGGAAGAATTTAAGTTCATATTATGATAAGCAAGGAGCCATTTGGTGTTTCCCATTAACACACAGTCGTTGCAGTTCCTCTCAAATGTCTTTAAAGGTGTGCTTCTTGATTTCAGGGCTGACGGACGAAGAGGTAGAGTTGGCCATCCAGCGTTCCGGTAGCACAGAAGAAGTCCTGCCCCTGAGCCCCGTGGGGCCCCCACATCTACATCCACTCCATACAACTCAGCTGGCTCCTGTAGTTCACAGTGAGTGCACAACACCTTATTCTTCCCTTTAGTACATGCTGTATATACATTAAATTAATATTTATGTTCACCATCTCACCTTGGGAAAAAGCATTTGTAGTTGAGTCAATTTAAAACTTAGACCCTTGTCCAGAGCAAGGTTGCTGTAGGATATCTTCCTTTTTGTTTTTATTAATTCAAACCCACTTAACAGGATGATTCCTCGCTCCATCTATTACAAGGATTACAGACTTGCAACATTTGACTTGAAATCAAACACAGGGAATACAATATTGCACAGCACAAGCTCATGAAGTCTCCCTTCCATTCTTTTTCAAGGGGTTCTACCCTGGCAAGACCCCACACCGCAACCTGTATCTTTATTACCTCAGGAGGTTATGAGTGCTGTCCACTGATTTACCAATGCAGAATGAAGTCCGCGTAATGCTTAACCCATATGACAATGATTCCAGATGTATTCCACCCTCATTTATTACCACACTGTCCTTGACTCCCCCGGCATCTCATGTTTTGTAATGAAAGTGATGTTGATGGGATGGCCATGTAGTTAGGGAGACTAGCGGCTCTCCGTCCATAGTGGGGGGTTTTATATCAAAACGGCTATAAGGCAGCTGCATAATGAGGTGAGAGCGGGGAGTCTTGTATGGGGGGGTCATGCCGAAAAGAGGGGGCTACCTCTCTTTGATGTCCTTGTTATGGGGACGGTGCATGGGGACCCGCATCCATCTCTGTCCAAGTAATGGATACTCTGATCTCTATTTCCACACGGTAGAAGGACAGGAAGGCCTCCACTGAACCCAATAAATTTGAGAGGAGATTGGAAAAACGGGGGATGGAGACCACAGTTCCACAGCTTAAGTGACCAAATAAAAAAAAAGAAGATGGCAGAGTGGAAGTGGCAGAGGAAAAGGGAGAGACGGGAAGAATGAAAGGTCCTAAAGGGGGGGGAAAGAGCATGTGAAGACCCCTGGTGATGCAGTGAGGCTTGTTCAGGGTCAACCACCTATCCCAAGGACTCCAAGGCCTTTTAGAAGCACAGTATTCTGGGATAGGTGACAGTATATCTCAGCTATAATGTTGATGAAGACCCAAATTTATGTGGTTACCATATGGATGTTGGAGAATAATTCAAATTTTAGATAGGAAAGGTTACGGTTTCAGCCCTGAATGCTGCCGTCATGAAACGTGCCCTTGAGTAAGTTGACTAAGGAGAGTAAAATAGCATTCACCTTGAAAATGTACCCTATAGTCTAATGTCTCTCATTTTATTTGCGTGTCAAATCCCACAAGTGTTAAGGCACATGATCAATCTGGTTTATCTTAATCCTGTCAATATGTACCGCATAACCCAATAAGATATATCAGACCTGCTGCAGAATATCATGCGTGCATTTAAGTGCCTCTGCCTCAGATCATTTCCTATTCTGGCCCCACCAGAGTGAATCAAAGAAAAACTCATATATTTCCTTCAAACCTGTTTGTTGTTTAGTGACATTTTCAGTTGAATGCATCTCTTATGTGGGGAATTTCCACTTTGACAGACAGTTGCTTACTCAGATGACAGCTTGCACAATGACGCACTTTCACATTATCTGTCACTCAGCAAGACAATCAACTTTTAAACACACACACACACCTTTTTGGTCTTGGCAGTTGTTTAAACGGTTATATACATACACTGCATTTGGCCCAATCCCAAAATAAGTGGAGAGCAACGGTCTCCTTCTCCTTGAACAAGGTAGAGAATTTGCTTTTCAAACTTATGCTTTAATTGTTATGTTAAGTGTCTGAAATCCAGTATTTATGAAGGGTGGAAAATAATTACTAAAGCCAAGCACAATGTTTTCATCTGTACAACTGTACAAGTTGTTTTGTATGTTTTAGCCTATTTAATACATATTCTGTGTGTGTATATACTCTGCCAACCATTGTGCAAACCATGCTGCTGGGTGAATGATGTATTTTCGATTGCTGCGAAGAATCAATAAAATCCAACATGCATTAAAAAAATCATCTGAAAAAATGTGAATGTGGTTTGTAGTTATGAAATGAAATTCAAAAGTAGGTATGACATGCTTAAAGTTTCATGTCACACTATGTCCACAGATTAATGCACTCGGTCTGCCAAACCTGAATCAGAAGCACACATTTCAACCACCATGATATTAAAGCAAATTATTTTCCAAATCAGTATTTTACCACATGTTTTATTCTCTTCTCCAGGTCCAGCAGGCTACAGATGGAGAGACTACGGTGCCCTCACCATTATTATGGTGGGCATCGCCTTTGGCTTTCATCAACTTTACAAGGCAAGTTACACCCTGTCTCTCCTGCCCTTCAGACCACGCACTGACTTTGTTTTCACTGTTAATGTTTCTCTAAAATTTGTTATACATATTATGTTTTGCATCCTAAGATTTGTCAGTACTGCCTCTCCCTGATATTACATTTAAATTGGTGGGCTTAGCAAGTCCATCAGTTTATGATGAATTATAGTGCTAGAAGTGAACGCGCCTCTGCAGTATGTAACATCACTCTGGTCTTGTTATTAAAGCTACCCTGCTTTACGTCAAAGCATGATCTCATTTGAACCCCTTCTTTTTAACTTCACCTTCCCTCCTCCTCTCAGAATATATATATATTTATATTTTTTTTTTTTACTCTAAAAAATATAGTTGCTAACACAGCCATTTTTTGCCGTCCTACTGTCTAAAAATAATCACCTTGGTTTTTATCGGGCTTAGCAGCCCTTGAACATGAGCTCATGAGGCCCCTTGTCCCCGGTGACATTAATCCCATAGTGGTTGTTAGTAGTAGTCTGAGTGGCATGTGGAAGCCATTACTCTCGTTTTAGAGGAGGACAGGAGCTCTAGCAGTAGCTCTTGGCCTGGATGACAGGCCATTCTCCTCAGTGTCTGTAAGAGCGAGAAAGTGAGCACGTATCATGTACATGCATATGCCTACCTGACCCTGTCAGACATATTGGCTTCTCTTTAGATCCTGTTATGTCCTATTATTTCATTCTTCTTTACAGAGCCTTTCATAAGGCTGCACATGCACATTCGGGGTCTCCTGTCTCTTCTTCCTCTATCCCTGCAGTCTTTCACTGACAAAAACACACACTGTACCAGTCCACTGTTGATCCTACATGCAGCAGGCTTTGCCAGCCACTGGTCACCTGGGAGGTGGGATTCCCTGGCGGGACGGCACAGGTTGCTGTCATGTCACTGGAGCGTAGCGCCAGTCGCACCATATGTCCAGGCTTCTGCCCATACTTTATTTATGTTATAGTGCACCTTGTAAACATCACACTCCCAGCAACCCACTTATTAATTACTACGTGTTGACACTCATTTAATCTATTTCTCTAAAAAGTGTTTATTACTTGCGCTGGTGTGTCTGCTTGCCACCTGAGCTGGAGAGAAAACCTGGCTTGGCTGTGAGGGATCCTGAATAAGAGATCCTTATTCAGCCTTAAAAAAACAATGATTTTAAATGCAGTTCAGTGTCGACTATGAACTGTGGGGACACAGTTACTTGGACATTTTTATTTTGGTGAACTCGGCTCCACACACACACACACACACACACACAGATGCATACAAGCTGATCATCTGGGCAACACTCACACTGGATAACAAACACCCTCATTTGGCTGTCACACATACATATGATTTGGTAGAGCTCTGTTTACTCAGTGGAAGACAGATGATAAACAACGTGACATTGTTTTTGGTTTTGGAAGACTATTTTCAGTGTTCACCACCATGTTTTTCCCTGTAGACTTGTCTTCTGCTTTCACGGTGCCTTTCTGGGTTTCATTCATTTACATTGCTGGAAATGTGTTGTTAGTGTCTGTTATTTTCATTATAGATCTGTGTGATTATTTTTTGCAATATACAAATGATCAAAAAAGAGAGAAACAATTCAGAACCCAAAGTTGTATTTTCATAGGGCTGTTATTTCCAACCAAGAGTCTAAAATCCAAAGATATTTCATCTCCAATGGTATACAATAGAGAAAATCAGCAAATATTTAACAATAATTCGTAATAAATAACTTCAATAGCTAATGAGTTTATAAAAGTGTTGATTAATTTTCTAGTTGACCGATGGTTTCATCACAGTTCTGTGCACATACCTGTTTCAGCTGTTTGGACACTATTTAAATATGTAGTTAATCATGCAGCATAGACAATTAGGCATTAGTCTAATAAAACAATGCCTTTGACCCTCCAAGGCCAAGTATAGGTGGCCTTGTCTTTTTCTCATCTCTCTGCACATTCCCACTGAAGAGAAGTGTAATTTTGTGCCACGCTTTTAATTGCAGAAATACATCCTTCCCCTCATTATGGGCAGCCGAGAGGACAAGAAGCATCTGCAGAGGATGGAGAGCAACATTGCGGCAATGAGTGGCACGCTGACACAGACAGGTGAAGATTAATATCTTCATCACTTTCTCCCTCCTTAACATTTTCCCTCATTTATCTGTCGCCAAAATCGGGGGGCCCTGCACGTTTTTAACAAATGACGCTGCTGTCATTTCGCTTTAATTTGAAATTGCTTGTTTACTGTCAGGCTCGGGCTCAATTAATTACGTTTCGCTGAAAAGCTCTTAACCTCGGAATATTAATGAGGAGTTGGGAAATGACAACTTTTCTCTCCCCCACCCATCCTCTCTCACTCCCCCCCTCCCTTCTATCCGTCTCCCCCTGCACCAACTTACCACCCCATCTAAACCTCCACCACCATCATCATCATGCACCCTCTTCCCCATAGGTGGTGAGAAAGTTCAATTTAATTTTGTGTACGTGTATGTGTGTTTGCGTGAGTGTGTGTGCCGTGCGTGCAGCATGGAACTGTGTGGCGTCTGGGCTCACCACTGGCCCTAGTGTGATTAAGTGTACGGTGACAGGTGCGGCTCCCATGTTGGACAGGTGAGGAATCTCAACCTGGCTGTCAGACATGGAGTGTGGGAGAGAGAGGTAGGGAGAGAGATGCTTTCCTAGCTCTTTGTCAGTATAATTAAAAATCCAGGGAGGCGTAAATGACGGAGGCACTCTGAGAAAGTTTGCTCTTGTTAGCTGTACTGTAGAACTGGAGTGTGTTTTCACCAATCCACATTCGAGATGGATGACCTGGCAGAAAAGAATAAGCGTAATAAAATAAAATAAAATAAAATTGGATAATAGGAGTAATGAATTTATTACTAAAACAAGATTAATCCAGAATCAAGAGGCCTAAAACACATTAAGAATCTAAGGTAACAAGTCATTTGCAAGCATTTTAATCTGTGAGTTTTGTGTAACTTTCATGAGATTTGCAAAGTATTTTCCAAGGACTCCACAAAAAATATAAAAACAGCAATAAAAAAAAAAAAAAAATAAAATAAAATAGTTTTAATTTAGAAGCAGTGACTGACATCTCACAGAAAAATGTATTTCAGTTTCTGGAATCAAAAGGCCACCACCAGATGATCTAAGATGGTACAAAGGCTCATTGGGAGCTAGTAATATATTTTAATACTCAGTGGTTTATTTGGGTAAAGCCTTAAAAGTCCTAAAGAACATTTTAAGATCAGCACTTTAGTGGCATATATAATAATATATATCTGAGTTTGACTTTTTTTCTTTGAAATATGAATTGTTAAATACAAACTTATATTTTAAGCCAATGGCTTGCCTGTTATATATCATGAGTTCAAATTCATGTGTGAAATAATTGTGTCCACCTGTCTATTTGAGATGTCAAGCAAGATAAAAACTTTACCTTAGAATTTTTTCCTGCCAAGAATTTGTGTTAGTTATGCAAATGCCTCTCATTTGTCAAATGATTATGATTTGTGTTATATATTTGTTCTTGTTGAAAAACGGTATCAACTAGTATAACACCTGTGTTTATAGGAGTTTAAAGCAGTAGAGTGTAAACAATGAGCCATACATGAATCATAAATGCAAGCCCGTGAGTTTAAGTACAGTCATCCTTTGTTTGATTTTCAATTATCTCCTAATTAAAACAAATAGTTCGATTTTACATCCCCTGTCAGACCAACGTAGTTAGATTAAAATACTGCTGTTTTCATTTTAGCCAGACACACCCATGCTATTGTTTTCTGGCTGGCAGAGGTAGGTGGAGGAGTAGAATTTGTGTGAGATTGCGTGCAAGGTGTGTCACAGTGAATCTGATTATCAAATATATGCCCCTTTATGGTCATTTTCTCCCAACTATGCAAACACATGTCCTCTGATGTATTGCACTACCTGTTCTCACTCTACTTATAACTATTTGGAGATTTGCCAATATACTAACCCTGTTTTGTTTGAACATAAAGACAGGATTTCACAATAACAGTCCTCCTGGGTTTTGCAGCGAGTAGGTGAGGCTCCAGTGGGGATAAAAAAAAAAAAATCATGGGTCTTTTCTTCAGCCAGTGTGGGGAACTAATTTGCTATGACTGCAGTAGCCAAGCTGCTATTGTAGTTAATGACTGTTGTAGTTAACAGTTTGGGAGAGGGGTTGCAATTACACCGAGAGTTTTCTCCCCCTGCTTTCCCTTTGTCTTCCTCTCCCTCTCGCTCCCTCTTTCCTCGCTGCACTGAGTAATAGCGGCCGACTGCCTTGCTGCTGCCAATTGCTTGAACCCCCTTTTGTTAAAGTTCATGTATTTCTCTAGTGCCGGGCGCAATGAGGTGATGTATTCTTTTGAATGGGGACTACATTAGTCTCTCTCACCAGCCCCAGCTCGAGAGTAAGGGCCTTGACTCCCATTATGATTTGCCTACAACTTCACACAGACAATTAATGAATGGATCTTGGAACTCCTTCAGCGAAGCCAGGCTGTAATGGAATTGTGCGGCTGTTTGGGCACTCTTTGTCGGTGGGAGCCATATTGGTGACCAGCTGGCCATTAAAGACAGAGACAGGCCTGGACATATGTAGTGTACATTATATTGAGGTATTTACTGAATAATTTACTGAATACACAATGTGCACCCTCCTCACAGCAGCTGCAAGCCTCACACATCATCTTGTCTCTGATTCTTTCTCATTCTGTCTCTCCTCTTTCTCTCACACACACACATCACAGCAACAGCCGCTTCTTGATTCATGCCTGGCCAAAGTCACTGACTTCATTATTTTTGGCTCCATATCTGTGGCAACTATGGATAAGAAGTTGTGCATTTTTGTCAAGTGTCTGAGCAATACAAAAGAGTCAACTTTATGGAGAGACATGAAAAGAGTTAGTCTGTGAACTGCTTGGCTGAAGTGGCTGAAAAAGCGGTGCCAATGGTAATTCAGGAGGTACAGCATTACAGGCTGGCAGACTGACCCACGCATCTGGATAAGCTGTTTTGTGGTGAGGTGGAATCGGAGAGTAATAGGGCAGCTCTTGGCTTAGCGTGCACACCCTGTCACCGTAACACCTTCTTAAGCAGGGATGGCCGCGGTATTTTAGTTTTATTGCCATCCTCAGAAAGCTTGGTCACACTCTGGATCACAAACCGAGCAGCAAACTCTAAACTGTTTGCACATTGGTTTTTCAGCCCCAACCAACGATCCTGCTCAAACCTGTATTCTACAGGATTCTGCGAGTATGAAAAGATCAAACATTTCAGCACCCCACCTATATTGATACAACTCCACCCATTTAAACACAGGTGTCACTACAAGATATTAGTGTCTTTGAAAGATCAAATATTTTGTCTGTGTTGGTTTTTCAAAAGAAATACAGCCTGTCTCTGTCTTTTGTACTGGTTAACGTTAGGGGAGGGCTCTTTACATCCCGTCCAGCCGGCTGCAGCTCAGGCTTTTAACCATTGGCCTGACAACCTCGGTAGTGGACCGCCACAATATCTGTTGATGTTAATCCTATTAGGCTTGATTTAACACTTTACACGCCCATGATTTATATGAATGTTTATTGGTTTTCTGTAATATAATCAGCTCAGGGAAACTTAATGCATTGTTTGGTAATACACGCGTGACTGGAAGCAGGGGGCAACAAACTGTGCCTGGTGTTATTTGAAATCATACACCCACATCCAACACCAACACTTGAACTAATTCAATCTTCAAAGTCAATGGAAAAAGAACAATATTTATTAGGATTAGGGGGGACATTTTGTCTGGCAGCCTCCTCCCAAATAAGAGCCTTGTTTTTTCCTTTGTTGATCGTTTGAGGATTTAAGATGCATTAGAAGGCAGTGTCTGGGTGGATAATGGAAGGTTAGAGACTGTTATTTGATTTAAGTTCAGACACTAGAGATTAATATCTCCATCCTATGTGCCCCCCTCCCGCCCCTTCCCACCCTCCACCCTCAGCGCCTCGGACCAAAAAGCTGCGACTAAAGTTACGGGGTATTAGCTTTGATTACAATTCTTAGAGGACAGCTTTGATCAGTAACATGAGTTGAATCCTATCAGTTCTGTCATCATCTCTGGAAAGAAGATATTCAGTTTTGTGCCACCAAAACAACCTAATCACACAATCTCACTTCCTTTTTTAAAAAATAGTTTTCAAATTTGCTGAATTTACCATCTGTTCTTTTGCTTGTTTCCACAGTGAGCCAGCTGCAGCAGACTCTGCTTTCTGTCCAGGAGCTCCTGATACAGCAGCAGCAGAAAATCCAAGAGCTCTCACAGGAACTGACTTCAGCAGAGGTAGAGCAGCTACCCATCTCATCAGCAACTGGACATCCTTCACTTTTCAATTTTAACTACAACATCATCGGTTGTACTTAAAACTTTGAGACTCTACTAGTATTTCTTTCTTTGTTTTACTTTCTCCTGCAAAGGGTTCAGTGGATTAAAATTACGTTTTTAGCAGTAGTTCCTTAATCAATGCAGATACTGTACAAGTTCCATTCATGTTTGTATGAAAGGCATATTCAACTGTATACGATCTGGCAGGTTATGTCTGTTTTAAAACATTACCATCTCACTTAATAATTTTGTTAAAATTATAAAAAATGTATTAATATATATTACTGCAGACAAATAGAAATTATATGAAACAACTTAACTAGTTTTACTTTCCTCTTCTTCAGTCGTGAAAGTTTGCAGACTGTACCTTTTTAGAGACTGTTACATTGCGATTGATGATTTGAGGGAAGCTCGACAGGCAGTAACTCTGAAATTACAGAAGAGCTCAGTAAAAGTAAAGTCTCGGGTTCAAATCTCCAGATTGATGAGGAGAGAGAAAAGGTTTCTTGACGACTCTGTGTACTAAAATCTCTTTCGCTACCCTGAGTCATAACGACCTGAGACAGACAGCCTTATTATACTGTATATCATCAGAACACAAGCTGCAAAATAGTACGGTGCATCTCATCATGGGACCATAATCTTTAACCATATGGTCATTCCTCTTCACCTTGATTTTTATAGACAGTGTTCATAATCTACTCAGAATTGTAAGTGTTTAGGTGAATCGAACTGAGCGATTGTTCTAAAAACTTATGTGCGAGGATGAAATGTTTCTTGCTTTTATGACACTGCTCATAAATCATTTTATGATCTCTGGGCTCTTAAAAAGTGCCTTGGAAGAGACAATCTAAGACAATATTTTATGTCCACAGCTGTTAAGCACACGGGTGTTTCACTGTAGCATCTGGATATTGCAGGAAAACATATGCAGCCACATCTGCTTCAGCACAAACGAGGAAGAAAAATATGAATCTCTTCCCCTGGACAAGCTTCATAAAAAACTGACAACTCATAGCTAATTTTGTGCTGTTTCAAGTTCTCAGCCACAAGGCCTCTCTAGTGTAAAAAGCAGTGGAAGCCCTAATCCGCACATGTGAATACATGGAAGCAATGATCTGATTTGATCTCACACTGGTGTGAAACAGACCAAGCTAAGGTGTTGTCTCAGGGAGACTGAAAAGGGATGTTATTTCTTCATTCGTCATCTTCAAATCACAGATTGGATTAAAAAGTGTCTACTTCATTTGCTATGAGTGCCTAGTTGGACAGCAGTAGTGTATAAAAAGTATATTTCACATCAAAACACCCATTAAACAAATCATAAACTCTGCTTTATAGCTATAGCGTTGATCTTAAATTTTCCCTGCGAGCCGGCACAAGGCCCTCTGTTGTCTCGGGCCATGGGGGAAATTGGGAAATTGTTTTCAGGTCCGTGATATTTGATGAGAAACACATGTTGGAGCTGGCGAGCTACTTATCATTCACCGTTTGTGGCTTTCGGGGTTTGCCTCACCACGGTGCTCAAAGTGCACCATGCTTAGCAATTATACCTCTCAACACGGAAATGTGCCTTTAACCCAAAACACATGGAGACTTCTGTTTCCTCAGCTGCTAAGTAAACATTTCTCGTAGTTTGGAAACCGCTCAATTGCGGAGTGTGTTTACTGTCCCTTAACTGGGGACCTCATCATGGAAGTGAGTTCAAACTGACTCACACACACACACACACACACACACACACA